CAAATTCAAGGATTATCATTATTATTATTATTAAAGTGCTGGGCCATAATGTTCTGATTACAGTTTGGGTACCTTTTTCCATTGCATTCATGCCCTGCAATAAAAAAAACTACATTGCAAAATCTGAATTGATTTTAACTACAAATAATTTCTTTCATCCTTTGAACATAAACTATTAAATTACATCATGAACAACTGCTTAAGTAGATCAAGAAATAATGGAGACTGTCCCTAATTAATTTCTAACCATCAAGTGAAATGTTGCCAATAAATTGAATGTTATTTTGCAATGTAAAAATGAACCTTTGAACATTTTATTTATTTTAGATGGAGCTAGGTGTTTTAATTTCAAAACATCACTTACACTTTGTCCCAACTATCCTGTATACAATAAATCATGTGGATTAGTAGCATTTTGCTATTTACTATTCATTGCAGATAGTTTAAAGTAAATTTAAATGAATGTGTGAAAATGGAGAACACACAGTAGGGATGATTTGTGGTTAAACTGGAATATACGATCATGTAGGCATGAAGATGTGTAATCTCTAGAAATACTAACTTGTGGAATAAAATAATTAGCATATTTTTACAGCAGTTTTCATCAGCTAAGAATGCCATCACAGATGCCAAGTTAAATAAGCCTAGGAATAGTGACAAATCATAAAGTACAAACATGTGTAGATTAAAAGTCCACTGAGACATATGAATGTGAATGTAAGTAATCTGGAGCCCAACACTGTTTTGTAAGATACAGAAGTAGAGTCTGGTTAACAAAACCCTTAGGAAATCACAACATCACCTGCTATTTATAAATTCTATTTGTGAAAAGTGTTGTTTGCATTAGCATTAACACAAGCAAGGGCTTGCAATAATGAGTGTTCAGTGCAATGCCGCTAAAAAGACAATTGGCTGTTCCCCCCACTTTCCCAATGAAGAATTGTGACTAAAGCCACAGATTCAAAATTCAAAGTTCTGAATTATTGGGGGCCTAAATGGCTCATTGAGTTTATCCAGTGAGTAACTGAGAATTATAGACTCGGAAAGCCACAGGTTTGCTTCCTAGCTCTACTGAGTTGTTAACTTCAGCCAGAAAAGCAGTAAGGATGCTAGCATAGGCATCAGTATCTTGAGTTGGATAGGGATAAAACAGCTATCATACTTGCAGTCCCCCAGGTACACAAGTGTAAACATTGGGTGAGGTCTGGATCGAACTTGACGATTGCCAAATAGCGCAGGCTTACAGGTAGATAATGGGTAAAATGTCAGAGGGTAACTGGCAGCTATTGAGCAGTATCACAGCAAAAAGTCGATGACATCAGGAGAGGAAATAATGGGAGAGAATTGGAGTAAAAGGAAGCACATAAAATAATAATAATCATTGTATTTAGCACCTTATCAAGGTGTCAGAAGTGCTTCCCAGGATTTCCAGTAAAGTGTAATCACTGTGCATTTATAAAGTAAGAAAACATGGAAGAATAAAATGCTTCAGAATAAAATGCTGTTTGGCTCCATCAAGCCCAGTCTTTCTACAGTCATATATTACATACCATATAATGGACCTCAATCCACAACTCTGTCTCCTGAGAGAAAGTATTGTACAGATACTGCCAGAATCCAAAGGCAATTAATGAAGTAAGAGATCCATAATATTCATTCATCCATCCCATATTTTCCCTACAAGTGCTCAAGGATGCTACCATACACGAAGGGCACTATTTCAATGCAAATTGTTGTTGTTGTTATATTTAACCCTCACATTCACCACACCACACACAACATTATATGGCTTGGGATATTTGTTCAGTTCATTTTGGACCTATTCCTACATCTTCTTTCGCTTGCCCACTGAGTGTTTTAGTTTATTTTTTTCAAAGAATGAATTAATACAGTACCAAATCCTTTTGTTGGGTATCAAAATCCCACATCATTGAGTTTGTCATGTTGAGAATCTTTCAATCCAATATTTGTCAATAGGAAATCAGAATTAATGCAACAAATCCAGTTTGGAAATATGACATTTTAAATCCCCAAATCCATTTGAATATAATATCTTCTGCATAGTATAAAACTGCTTACTGTAGACATAGATACATAGATGCGAAGGAGTAAAAAATGGCCCGGGGGTCCACCAAATTAGCTCCATGGACCCTCCAAATGGTGTGAGCCTGTCCTATAGGTGAAGAAATAGAGAAAAAAAACAAAAAAAGGGCAATTTTAGGCAAAAAAAGATGTATCCGTCATCACTGATCTATATAACATCTATATAACATCTTTCAATTTATAGTCAAATATTTGTAAATATTTGATTGTATTTATTTTTGGCAGCTTTGCATTGTCTGAGAACTTTTAGGGAACAATCAATTATCCCCTCGAAATCCACTTCCTTCTCCATCTCTGCTGATAAACACCTGTCATTTAGCAAACTTTACTGTTTTTTTTCCAATACATGTATGTTGCATTTTTCCACAACAAAAAAACATTTTGCCTCCTTTGCTATCCAACTAATGCATTTTTTGGTTTAACTTGGATGAGGGAAAAATGTTGGTTAGAACACTAGGAGAACTTCCACTCATAAAAGAGCCACAGGATCTTACATCATCAATAGTTGTGGTCAAAATATTGTGCAAAGTTTGGGAACTGTACTTTATTGATAGGTTTGTAAAGGATAAGGAAGAAGTAGGTGGATCTATACAGTTTAAAACTAGATTTGTAGCTATATAGCTATGTGGAGTCCTGTAGTTAAGTGGTTAGAGCACTCGCTTTGCAAGCGAGAGACCTGAGTTCAATTCCAGGCAGAGCGAAACCTTGGGCAAGTTTCCTTACTCCACACGCCTAATAATAATACCTCCAAAACCAAAAACAATAATAAAATTGTTCATTTTCAATCTACGACTGTTTGTGGGACATTGCTGTGCGCAATTAGCTGCCGCGTTCGCTCACAGTTAATTCACTTTACAGTATATTCTGTGAAGCGCTTTGGGACATCTAGAAGACGTGAAAAGCGCTATATCAAATGCAAGGATTATTATTATTATATAAGAATGACCATTCTGTTTTTTTATTACAACTTATTCCATTAGAGATTTTTGTTGTAATTAAAATATTAGAATGCATAATTAAAAGAGATTGCAAACCGAGAAAAATATAAAAGCTCACTTGTTGGAAAGACAACTGTGAAACTTTTAAAAGTTGGGATAAGTAAGTATTCCCAGACCTGGTCGTCAAATTCTGGATTCTGCCTGTTAGAGGCTGCCTGCTGGCTTCATAGCTGGAGCAACTAGCTTTGGACAAAGCCATTTGAATGGGTTCTACAGTCTTCAAAGAAGGCATCTCAAAGGATACCTTATAGACATGTATAACATTTTAAATTGGATTGAAATGTTAACCCAGATCGATACTTAAGGATGCACCAAGACAGTAGAACAAGAGGACATAGGTCTACAACAACAACAATTACACTTGTAGAGCACCCTTTACGTTGGAAAGACGTTCAAGGGCGCTGGACAATCAGCGGTTTTGGACCCCAGCTGGGAGTTGGGATCAGAAGGGGAGGAGGGCGGTGGGGGTGGGAAGGTGGCGAAAGGCATGATTGAAGAGGCAGGACTTCAGAAGGGACTTGAAGAAAGCAAGAGAGAGGGTGAGTTGGAGGGATTGTGGGATAAAGTTCCAGAATGTGGGGTCAGAGATGCTGAATGCCTAACCACCAATGGTGTGGGGCAGTGGGAGTGGACAGGCTGATATAGAGTCACGAGGTCGGAGAGCTAAGATTGTGGAGGCCTTGAAAGTTTAGAGTTACAATGGGCAATTTCAGGACAGATTCCAGGAGACTTTCCTATACCTAGAGGGTAATTAACAAACTGGAACTAGTTTCAGCAAGGTAGTTGAGGTCAGGACACTGGACTCATTTAAAAAGCAGCCTGATATTGTGATGGGAGGAAGTTAGGGTGGGTATTCTGGTGGGATGAAATCCAATGAGCTGAAGGTCCTTCTTCATCCAAACCAATCTTTGATCTTATGAGAGTCATGGTGGGGGGATGCTTCCCCATGTCAGTTATCAAATAGGACATCTCCAGGAGAGAAATTCTGTCCCTGATGTGATGATTATCATGACATCAGTGATGAATATCATGACATCAGTGACGATTATCATCAGATGTGATGATTATCACATCACATACCCTATTTTCAAACCGGCCTTTCTGTTTATGGTTTCCAGCATTCTTTTTTATAACTTGTACATCTATGATGTGATGTTTAAGCAGTCTTTTCCATCATTTATTCTTGCCTATTAAATTCCACAGAAAAGTGAAAATAAATGAATGTTTTCACTTTTGAAAACTGAAACATCTAAAACCACCTTTTCACTTGTGGAGGTGTGAAGTGAAGTTGTTGGGAGGGTGGAAGAAATGGACTTGAAAATCTTACCATGAGTGAACCAAGCTACTCAGAATGCTTTTCCTTTTCATTGTGTGTCTCATATTTGCCGCAACTAAATATAACTTCCAATAAAAATAACATCAAGGGCAACCAAATCATCTAACCTAGCAATGTGGTTGCCAAAGTAACAGATTAAGAATTATGCTTTCCCAATTTATATTACAGTCTCATTGAGTCATGTGGTTTGCATAACTGAAATGACATAAACCTGCCGCAGCATGCATGGAGATTCTTTGCAGTGTTGGTTCCTCATAGGAATTGTTCTAATTAGATAACAAGGTTTATCTCTCCATCAGTGGTGTGAAATACTTTACAAAATGCTGTGGTTTAAATCTCCTGTGTGGTGCTGTGGAGGTTCAGCAAGATTAAAATGGAAACTTTAAATGATGCATTGAGGGACCACTCTTATTTTCTCCTCATTGGTAAATTTACCCTCCGGCAGAGAAGGTTTGTCTGCAAAATTTACCAACACTCGGAGATTTGTTCCTTACTTCATGATATCATCACTATAAATTAACTCTTATTACTACTCTAATTCATCTTTGCATTCTTCTCCTCAGGGGTCAAAGACATCCCGCTGGGCTGATCCAGATCATTTTGCGCAGCGCCAGACCTGCATGAACACTTTTGCTAGCTGGTTCGGTGTCATGCCACTCATCCACTCACAAATGAGGCTGGATCCCATCCTTTTCAAAGACCAAGTCTCCATCCTGCGGAAGAAGTACCGGGATATTGAAAGATTATAGAGCCCAGCGCAGTGGTCTGAGCTGTACTGCAAAAGCTGCTCTTATATGCCTGTGATAATTGCCTGGTCTTAAGGGGTCACTGGAAAACTCCTGGCAAGACTGAGACACAAGACAAAAGTACAGCAACAAGAACACTGCCTTCTGGGGACCAAGTGACAATGACCTCAGTGCAACCAGAAGGTTAGCTGCCATATTGAATGGTTATTCGAGGTGTTTCCAGTCATGTTCTTTCTTTTACTTTGTCAAGGTAAAACTAAATTTCTGACAATCGTGCCTAACCATTGAGGGTTTGAGGGGTAAACAACACATAACAAAAATATGGTCAAAGAATGTACACGTTCTGTTTAAAGCTTGCAAAGGGATTATATAGCTCAGCTAAACACAGATGTTTTAGTTTATTCATTTGTCTGTATTTTAAGTTTGCTTTGTTTGTCAAATTCTCAGCTCTTACATTTTAATTACTTCTCGATGTCTGATGTGTCTTTTTAAATGGTCAAAAATATATTCAATAAAAAACAACTTTTCTGCAGCAACCACAATAAGGAATACTGGTCAAAGCAAATCTCAATGTGCACAAGGTATTTTTTGAAATTCTACTGCAAGCTGGGTGCAAATATAAACCTTAACAAATGCTAAAGGTAAATTTGTACACAATTGTACTCAGAGCTGGAAGGAACCAGTGACCTGTATCCCTTGAACCCTAAATCTGACAAGACCATCGGAATAGGGATTTGAGTATAGTAATGGGTCACAACATGCAATTTTAATATCACATAGATTAGGAATGCTTCATGTAGTTACAGGTATTGGTATTTTTAGTATATCCAGTATACAGTATGTTCTATCTCATGATCTTGGTAGGTACAGGAAAGGGACCAATGGCAAAGCCCTGGTGAATGAATGCTTTTAAATTTCTACTGGGTTTGGACCAGTAATAGTCAGAACAAATATTTTAACTTTAACTTAAAAATAAGTACTCCACATATTCCAAAATAAATTGACAGACCCATTTGAAATGGCATGATCCTAGGTCACTTTTACTAGTAGCTGTAGCAGTGAGTTTGTCTGGCCAATTGTTTGCAAATTGTAAGCTGCTTTTCTATCTTTTCCTAAAGCACAAAGGTTAGAATTATTGATTAATTCTGCTTCTGTGCTAAACCTTTCAAAGCAGAGAAAGTAATGAGTCATTTCAAATCTGGCTGCATCAGTGTTATACGGATTGCCAGATCTAAATAATCTGAAAAATAATTCAAAATGCAAGTGGCACTTTATGGTGATACTGGTTTGTCATTGTGATTTCATGTTATGCCCTTATTAATGTTTTGAATATAAACAAATTGCACCTATTACTGCAAGAGAATCTTATCTTAGGGAATGCATTTTATTTGTTTTTTGTGGTCCTGAAAAATCTATGTGCCTACAAAGATCCTTTTATGAAGCAAAACCTCTTCATTGACACAGCAGGAGTCACAGTTGTCTAAAGTAAAGCCTAATTATTGACAGTCAAAAGGTTACTGCTTTGGCTGGATCATGGAGATGGAATGAGCAGCGGAAACAAGAGTGTGGTTTGTTGGGCCAGATTACCTCTGGAAATGAATCTCATTAACTCTTTCAACAACAACAACTTGCATTTATATAGCACCTCTCACACAGGGTAGCATCCTACAGTGCTTTCTCCTCCGCCCCCTCACCTGTGGTTTATAGTTAACAGTATAAAACAGTATATGGGGAGATTTCTTAACAAAGTAATCTAAATAAATATATGATTCAACAACAACAACAAGAAAATTACATTTGTATAGCGCCTTTCATGTCGGGAGGATGTCCCAAGGCGCTGGACAGAGTACAGCATTTCAGACCCGAACTGGGGTCAGGGGGGGAGAAGAGAGGGCAGGGGAAGGGGGGTGGCCGATGGCATGGTCGAAGCGGAGGGTCTTGAGGCGGGACTTGAAGGAGGCTAAGGAAGGGGTGAGGCGGAGTTACTGGGATGGAATTCCAGAGATTGGGGGCAGAGTGGCTGAAGGCTCTCCTGCCAATGGTGGGGCGGGTGGGTCGGGGGACGTGGAGCAGACCAGTGCCAGCTGAGCGGAGGGAGCGGGCGGGTTGGTAGGGGGTTAGGAGGTCACAGAGGTAGGGTGGGGCAAAGCCATGCATGGCTTTGTATGTGAGGGCCAGGATCTTGAACTGGATCCTCTGAAGGATAGGGAGCCAATGGAGTCAGGCGAGAGTGGGAGAGATGGGATCACGGAGTTTGGTACGGGAGAGGACACGGGCTGCAGAGTTCTGGATTATCTGCAGCCTGTGGAGGGAGGAATTGGGAAGGCCGACAAAACAAAACAAAAAAACACAAAACAAAACATATTCCAAAAATAGCACTTGTGTGAAATTTGTCTTTGGAGCATTTAAACTTTTAAAAGTTGATTGTACTTTTTTTGGTCTGACAGATGTGGAAACCTATCACATTTAAGTATCTAATCCAGACTGAGAGTGGTGCACATGTATTCCAAGCTACACTTGGAATTTTCCCTTGCCTGGAATGGAATGCACACTCTCTCCCTGGAGGAACATACCCTGCTTTCCTAAATCTGGAAAGTATTAGGTACAGGTTTGCAAGAGCCGAGGCTTGAGGAACAAAACTGTACTTTGGGGGTTCTGTTACAGTTTAACCAACGAAAACCACATCGCTTGCCACTGAGAGTACTGCCTGGCAAGTTCCCCACTACTTCTCCAGCTAGGAATACCCGAAGTTAGGACATTAGTTTGCAGAGTTAACAGAAGATGAGTAGGAGGAACCCCTGCCTCTCCAAGTCCTGCTGATGCCTGCAGGAAGCAGGGAATCTTCCCACTTGGTTCTTGATAAACCAGCAAGCTAAAGATTATTCTCAGCATTGTTACATTACAAACCAGATGGAATATGCCAGCAAGCTTCGATTTAATCAATTTAAATGTCAAGTTCTGAAACTGAAATTAAAATAGTGGTGAAATTCTGAACCCCTAACTTAGTTGTAAAATGCTTCTATTGTGAAATTCCCGACTCTTTAAGCAGCCCATTGCTTTTATGCTGAAGCAAATTATTGAATTCAACTGTAACTTTGAAATTCAGGTTTTTAATTTGACTAATGCTTCTTATGGAATGACCATCATTTTTTTATGGAATGGCTCCATAAAATGTCCTCTTTAGAGGGACATTGTCTGGAAACTTGAAAGCATCAAAACACATATTTGGCCTAAAATAATAATAGCCCCCAAATGCAAAAGTTCACCCTGAAGCAGTTTATAACTTGTGTAGCAAAGCATTTGCAGTTTTCATGCAGAGATACAGTACAAGTTGTTCCAAAACTCCCCAGGAAGGCAACACTATCCTATTAAAATATATATAACATATACAGCAAGTCACAAATATCAGTGAACACAAATATTACAGTGAGGCCAATGGAAACTGAAATGCAAATAAATTATTCTCAGGAGGCGTATTGATTTCTTCAAAACGTGGGAATGTACAGCACTGGAAAAGACCATTGTCATCCATCTGGCCAAACTAAAAGAAAAGTTTTTAAAATAATAAATAATCCTCAACTATTCCATGTCTCGTACTCCTCAATTAAATGATTTGCTGAAACCTTCCTAAGCTATCCAATTCCCTCTTGCATGTACTGACACAATCTGCCATTACATCCTAGGGTAATCTATTCCACATATTCCCTATTCTGCAAAGTGATTAAATCTGAACTGCCTGTTCATCTGTCCTCTTCCGAGCTCGAGTTTAATTAAAGGGTGATGAGCTTGAGAGCTTAATATAAATGGAGGTATATCATGTTCAGAGATTACTCTGCTATGTATAACAGAGTGAGAAACCACCCTTTCTATATAAAAATGTTTTTTTTCCTTTTAAGCTTTTATCAGACCAACAGCCAAACCAGGATCAGTATTGGTTCCCCATTTACTTATATGTTTCTGCCTATTTTTCTACTATACACTGCGTGTCGTGCATTTTTAGATTTGATTAATATTAATTTGTTTCAAACTTTGTACTGCTTTTCGTTTGAATAAATTTTAATAATTTAAACTCCCAGATCAGCAGGGTGTCAATAAAACTTAAGTGAAATTTGCTGGAATAACATTTAAAATGTACTGTAAACTGGATTAGGTATCTCCTTTTGAATTTTCATTCAGACAATTTCTATCAATGATTGGCAAGAATGTAGATGTTATTTAATGTAGGTTGTGCAATGCAGCATCCAAGCCATATAGAAATGTTCTGTGAATCAGAATTGTTCTTAAACATCAATGCATAACTGCATCATCTTGCCCTTGCAGGGGATATGCAGTTAAAACATTATGGTGACCATAAAATCAACACTAAGCTGCAGCTCACTTAAAGGCATCATGTTTGAACATTGGACAATACAATCACGTAGTTGGTCATTTCAAGTCCTGCCTGGCCACAGCGCTTTAATGTCATTGCACATATCTTTATTCAGTAGGTTTTTAAAGCATTGTGTTGCCAGATATATTCAGTTTGAATTCTTCTTTATGTTGTGCCTTTGATGTGCTACCACATTGTCCAAACTGTTGTACAAAATACAATACTTTGCTTGATTGTGGTGTGACTTTTATAACACACTGGGCTTTGAGAAGTCCTTACAACTACGAAAGAGACATCAAAAGATGTAACAATTCCCTGCACCAATGTATCCCCAGGTGGACAACATTGTTATGGAGGAGATCCATCAACAGAACACTCTGAAATCCTGGCTCGGTATCCACATTCCTGCTCAGTCTGGTTTACATGCAAACGTGCCATTGCATGCAGCCACGTCATAATGCTGAATAGGGAAGTGTGAAGAGGTAAACACGACTTTCCATTTTGCTTCTGTAGAACAACTTGCAGATTTTTTTTTAGAAATGTAAACATCAAATACTGTAAATGCCAATTTTCTATAAAAGACTGAATTTGTTGAAATAAAAAAATAAACATTTTTAAACGAGAATATTATGTATCATTTTCATGTCGTTGTCGTTCCCCCTTTCTTTCGACTGCACAAAGTAATATTCCGTTGCGGCATCCAGAAGTCCAACACATCATGGAAAATGTGATTATTTTGACCCAATTAGCCTTTTCAAAAGTTACAGGTTAAAATGCCAATGATGTGTGAACACTGTTTAAACTTTGTTGAAATGAGTCATTTCACATTTGAAAACATGGTGTGAAATTTAATTCAGTTCAGATTTATTCTTTTAGTTAGCCGATGTTTATTTCACAAATCCACAATGAAGTCTTAAAATCTCAGCAGTGGCTGACAGTCAAATCAGGCAGTCAGAAATTGTGATGAATATTGTCAATTCTAAGCCATGTGAATTGGTAGGATACTTGAGTCCATCCATCCATCTCCAAAGCAAATGTGTCTAATGTCAACTGAATTTTACCGCATATAGTTCTGGTCAATGCAACATAAGGGTATCCAATCCCTTGAGGTAGTGCAGAGGAAAGCAATGAGGATGATCCCCAGTGTTAGAGGAATGAGCAACAATTAGACAAGCTATGGATCTTCATTCTTGAGAGAAGGGGAACAGAGAGGAACTCATAGAAGTGTATAAAATGTTAAATGGGTTTGAAAAAGTAAACCCAGATCAATACTTTAGGATACATCAAGATAGTAAAACAAGAGAACATAGGTTTAAAGCTGTAAAAGGCAATTTCAGGACAGATACAAGGATGTTTTTTCTTTACACAGAGGGTAAGCAATGACTGGATCAGGATGCCTGGAAAGGTGGTGCCTGCCATCCACCTTGTGAGGGGTCAAACCTACCCTTGTCGATTTTATTGTGTGCTGTAGAGATTAAATCATGTAACATCTCATTTCTTTTCTTTTATAGATTATACACGATAGGATATATTCACATATTGCAAGAAATACTTTCATTTGGAATAAAGCGCCAGGTTTACTTGTGGAATACTGTGGTATATATTATCACAGTATTCTACAAATTTAGCTGCTTTTCCAATTTATTATTTAAGTATGGGTAAGTACTGTTCTTTAGATATATGTTCTGAAATCGAAAGTATAGAATTGTTATCATAAAAAATTATGTTTTTGATACTGGGAAACCCTGATATGGCAAAATAATGGACTAGTTTCTGCTAGGAGGAACTTATGATCTTTGGGTAGAGAACAAGTCATTTGTCCTTTTTATTGAGGAACCAAGGTGAAAGCCAGAGGAGCAAAACAATGTCAATGTTTAAATGAGTAGGAAGACTTTGTCATGAAGTTCAGATCAATTTGCCTTGCAATTGTAGGTTGACCAACTCATGACTATTCTCCTTGGGAGGGGAGGTAAGTGGGTTCTTCTTAAAGATGAATTGGTTTGAAGGTGACATGTTTTCCAACAGAATGGCAGAATCAAGTAGTCCAGTTCCTGAGACAGGTAGGTCCATAATATTCCAGAGTATTGGAGTCCTGTAGCTCAGTGGTTAGAGAACTCGCTTTGCAAGTGAGAGACCTGAGTTCAATTCCAGGCAGGGCGAACCTTGGGCAAGTTTCCTTACTCCACACACCTAATAATAGTCCCTCCAATAAAATAAAATAATAATAAATCGGTCATTTTCAATCCATATGACTGTTTGTGGGACATTGCTGTGCGCAATTGGCTGCCGCATTTGCCCACAAATATACAGTCAATTCACTTTACAGTGTGTTCTGTGAAGCGCTTTGGGACGACCTCCCGACGTGAAAAGCGCTATATCAAATGCAAGGATTATTATTATTATTATGACAGCACAGCAAGCCTGGCTCATCAGC